TGATTATTGTGTAGGCGATGAGTATGACATTGTTATACTAACAACTGTCAGATCACAGAAAGTCAGTGAAATTAGGTATAAAGAGTACATTCAACCTGACAGAAGATGGCTAACAGAAAATCTTGGTTTTCTGACTGATGATCATCAGATCAATGTTGGTATCACTCGTGCTAGATATGGGCTTATACTCATTGGTAAGACCGTAAGAGATATATGCAATGTAACATGATTTATTACAGGTAATGATAAATTACTGAGGTATGACAAGACATGGAATAGACTGATTAAATTTTATGAAGATGAAGGATGTACTCGTATGATAGACTTTTAAGTTATAAATATAGTGATATAACATAATTATCTATATAGTATAGTAAGTTATTTAGCAATTTTTTCTTTATTAAGGTGGCTGGTATTCATCATGCATTCTATGTACATTTTTGTGACAATTTTTTTGTAATTTTCTTGTTTATGAAAAAATTATGACTCTTAATAGCTACAACTTGATGTGAGTAGACTAGATCTAGATCTATTTTGATTAATATCCTGTGGACCCACCTCTAAGGTTCCATGGCCGAATTCCCTGCCGAGTCTGTGACTCTTCTATATTGGTCTTGTCTTTGTCCAATAAGGATTGAAGCTAACTCAAAGGGTATATATAGGATCGATTTGCTAATTGAAAAAGGAGCAGATGAGAAAGAAAAAGAAGTTGATGAACAAATTGAGGCTCTTGAATGTTCACCTGACATAAAGATCAACCTGAAATCATGTGTCAATTGGTTAGCTAAGTATTTTGAAGGGGACTTTAGCTTTTTAAACAAAAAGGAAACATTTCCTGTACTAGACAGATCACACGAAGGTTAGCTCAAGGCTATAAGTATCACCTTATATATACTCATACACTTAATACAGGCCAATTTGCTAGTAAAGTTTGGAAATGTCTTGAAAGAATACATCCTGGTCAAACTATCTCTTATGGTGAAGTAGCAACTCTTACTGGTAGTGAAGGAGCTGCTAGAGCAGTTGGGCAAGTCATGAAAAATAACAAACTTTCACTGATTCTTCCATGCCACCGTGTCATTCGTTCTGATGGATCACTCGGGCATTACAGCAGTGGAGGGACAACTATCAAACAATGGTTGCTTCAGCATGAGAGCAATCATTAATAAATCATGTAATCATTCCATAATATTAATAAAAATTATACAAATAGATCTACCATTGAATTAATCCACTTGCTAACTTCCTTTCCTGAATTATACATGCAATGTTTTCTAGTTTATTAGTGATTCATTGGGTCAGTCTGATTGTGCAACCGTCAGTATAGTACATTCACTAAACTGCTCACAAATTACTTTTTGAATGACATAATCAGTCTAAATCAATTGCATTAAAAATGATCTGAAATTATTAGCTGTAGCTTCATCCAGTACTAGAATCGGGTTCTTTCTCAGTAGAGCTCTTGCCAAACAAAAGAGTTGTCTTTGCCCTACACTCAAGTTACTACCACCTTCACTGATGATTGACAATAAACCTTCATTTAGTCCTTTAATTGCAGACTTCATTTAAACCTGAAAAAAATTAAAAATAATAATAGCAAGTGGTAAACAAAAATTTACTATTGAAGCCAGTATCTTTCCAGCCTGGGATTTTGGCGTAGCGCTCATGCAGGTTCTTGTTAGTGGATTTTAAAAGTTCAAAATATTCTAAAGGTATTTTTCAAAAATTGCTAGAAATTTTTTTGTAATAAATCTACATAGACTATTAATGTTATGTGCTGTATGAAAATTTTAAGCTGATTCCAATAAAAACTGAATTTTTAAAGGTGCTACAAAATTATTCCAAGACATTTTACTATTTCATTTAGCAAAATTTTGCTAAAAACGACTAAAAAAATATTCCATTATAATTTTGTCTCATACACATACATGTTCTCATGTCGAATAGCTAATTCCGGTCAAAATTAGATTTTTTATGAATTTTAAAAGTATTCCAAAGTCCCTGTGATGAAATTTTCCAAAAAATCACTACAGAGAATTCTTATTTTATAATTAATTTTTGTCTTGTACACATTATGTTATGTAGCATGTTTGAGCTAAAAATTGAATTTTTAATAAATATTTTAAGTTACTCAAAATTAGACTAAAGCTCATGCACTATAGAGTAAATTAAATTTCACCAAAAATGACTAGGAGAGAATTCTCCATGCTTATAACTTTTTATATACATGCTTTTAGGTTGTGTAGCAAGTTTGGTTCATTCCTATCAATTAGTATCAAAATGGTTTTTTAACAAAATTACTCATACTCAAAAAATTAAACCAAAGTCCTGTACTAAATAAGGTCTTTTGCCAAATTCCACAGAGTTGACTACAAGAGAATTCTCCATTTTCTGATACCTATACATGTTCTTATGTTGTGTAGCAAATTTGAGCTGATTTCGATCAAATTGAATTATTACAAACTTTTAAGTTACTCAAAATTAGACCAAAGTTCCTGTGCTATTATAGTATGGGGTCTTTGGCTGAATTTTGACAAAAATGACTACGAGACAATCCTTTATTTTGATAATTTTTGTCTGATGCATCATGACATGTTCTTATGTTGTAAAGCTGATTCTAGATTTCTAGCAGTAGCTATATTGTAGTGCTTGTCAGTTTATGAAGCATGCTGTTTAGCCCACTTAGCATGCTTTGTGGGAAATTCTGACTGATCAGTTAATTGTTTATACCAGCTGCTCCATAATTTGACAAAGGATGTCAGAATGGCTTTAAAAGAATCTGTCATTTTAACTAGATTTTAAAATAATACATGTTCTCATGTTGTGAAGCTGATTGATTGAGATTAAAATTAGAATTTAATCATGCCCGAAAGTCTAAAAACAATGGGAATGGGCTATAAGTACAGAACATTTCATCAAAAATGGCTAGGAGAAAATTCTAATGCATGCATATTTTCTTATGTAGAGCTAGTGTAGAAATTTTGAGCTCATTCTGACTGAAATTGGTAAATTTCTCTAACCAATAATACTGATTAGCCTAAAAACAGTACACCCATATTCATACAAGTCAAATGGATCAAGATATTATAACAAAATTGTTCTACCAAAAAACTGGATCCTGTTCATAATGACTTCATTCTATCAAAATTTTGCTTCATGCATGCATGGCTACTGAATTTAAAATTTAGAAAATTTAAGATCTATCAGTCCTTATGAAACTTACCACGCATAGGGTACTATGGTAAATCACACCACAACAATAAAAGATACCAAGGCTGAATGTGTTGGTTCTGGTACTGGTGGAGTTTCCATATCATTATTGATTACAATGAATAAAAATGATTGGTTGAGAGCCCTTGCAGTGTTAGTGATAAGTGAGAATATATTTGGCTACGAGCTATGTAAGAAAAATTATGTAACTTTTTTTAGTTTAGGTATGGTTTAGGCTTGTTTAGGCCACCCTAATCAGACTAGATTCTTTGTTCCATCTTTTACAGGGGCTGATGTGAGCAGTCGGCTTTTTAGTTATTGCAATATAAATTAATGTGCAATAATAATGGATTCTTGATATCATAAACCGTGACACTTTATGTGGTAGGAAATTTGTTTTTTTTTAATTGTGCCAC